AGTCACAAGGCAGCTATGACAGAGGGCAAAGCTGAGATCTGATGTGAGGTCTACAAAGGTGTGGTGTGAATTAAAAGTTTAAGCCTTTCAAGTGTCTTACATTAAGAATAGAGATGGTGTAGGAGGAGTCTGAGATGTGACATGATGACATTTTGCCAGACATAGAGGAAACAGACCTCTGAGCATCTGTTTCCTGTTGAGAAAGGCAATCCCTTTTATTCAATAGTATCCTTTTAAAGAAAAAAATCCCTGCTTTAAAACCTTCCAATGACTCAAAAATTGAAGATAATTTTCCTCCAAACTCATCTCTACCATCTCTCATCACCTCTAGACCTCAAATAGGAGTTAAGGTCTCAACACCACTGGTACAATGAAGGTGTTTAGAGCAAGAGATGTGAAAAGTCATGATCGGTCATTTATTTAATTGAGATGGGTGTGGCTACCCGTAATTCAGAATTTGGTGAAAATGGTATTAATAGTTGGCTGAGTAGAGGCTTGGATTCTACAATAGCCTCTGTACTGATGTTAAAATGCAGAGCTTCCCTATAAAAGAAAAAGTTCATAGGACTGTGGAAATGACAATGTTGAAGTGAATATATTATGTGCAATCTTCTGCTACCACTTAGGAAAACATTATATGATATGTAACAGGAACCCTATAAGATATCTAACAGAATTCTGTGGTGGCCTCTCCATCAAAAGTACTAGTAGATGGTGATGTAATGAAACTGGTCCCCCTGACCGCACTGAGAATAATGGAATCCTGAAGTGAAAAAACTCAGGTGGTAGCAGTTAGACCTCAGAAACTAGGTGAAGGCAATTGCCACTATAAACTACTAGACAGAGCACTAATCAACGTTTTGACACAGAAGAGGTCTGCAATGAGGGCTGATTGCAAAATCTGTATAAAATAATCAGCAGGTTTTCCTGCTGGTTTACCTGCTGGGTAGAAATGAATCCAAGGTGCCATAGCTGGCATCTATTTTTTGTTCCCAGCTCCCAGAATTGAGCCATTTCATAGACCTGGTACCCCTGCTTTAAGGGAGATGGCTGGATAACTTAGAGGAAGGTACTGATACAGATTTCTGCTGTAACATTTCCCCCAAGCCATTTTGGAATGGATATTTACCAAGAAGATCATGGACTAAGGGATGGAAAATATCTAGATATTCTGGGAGTGGGTGTTAGATATGTTTGTGAACTGATCCTAAAATTCTACTGTGAGCCATGAAGAAGAGGGTTATGGAGGTCAAGTGAGAAGTGACTTATTAGCATGAGTCCACCCCAATAGGGTACAGAGGGTTAGCAGACACTCTTATTGTACATTCTTAAAGTGGCCAAGCATTTGTACTGTTCAGGTTTCCTCCCTTCAAGAGAACATGCTGCATGGGACACAGTTGACTGAAGAAGCTAAGAAAGACCTGAACTGAAGTAGACCTAAACTATAAGAAATAATAAAAAAGTAACTACTGGTCAAAAGAAAAAAGAATCCCAGATGAAAACACAAAACAGCAAAAAAGAAAAGAAATGAAGAAAATCTTAGAAGGAACACAAGTAACTAACAAGAATATATCTTGTAATACAGTGGTACCTCGGTTCACAAACACATTTGTTTGAGAGCAATATGGCTCACAAACAGAAGCATTTGGCAAAATTTTGTGGGGGTTTTTGTGTGTGAACTCTGCACTGGGTAATGAATATGACTGCAGCCGTCTTTCTTGCATGAACACAAATGTGGGCATCTTTTCCAGAATCACGGAACAAATTAAATTTGTGAACTGAGGTACCACTGTATTTTAATACATGCACAAATAAAACATTGACAATAAACTAATAGGGTAAAAAATGATAAATGGCATTAAAATGTTGCAGGACCCTTGCACTGTTTGGGACGTGATAAATGAATGCATTTAAGGTAATCTATTATGAGTCAAAGTTGAATATTACAATCTAAGATAACTTGTAAAAGGATAGTACAACTAAAAAGTAAAGGAGAAAATGAACCTAAAATAAGTCAAGAAAGAATTAATAAATGAAACGAACATATGAGACAAAAAACCCAAATAGCTAAGAATGAAGACTTACACCAAATTCCATTAGTTATGCTATTAAATATAAATAAACTAAAACTCCAACTAAAAAGATTGTAAGATGAAACTAAAACCCAAACCTAACTATATATAAAACCCATTTTTATTTTGTGTGTGTGGTTTTTTTTGGTACCGGGGATCGAACTCGGGACCTTGCGCTTGCGAGGCAGGCGGCGGTACCACTGAGCTAGATCCCCGGCCCAAACCCATTTTTGTTTTTAAAATGTACTTTAAATAAAAGGACAAAGACTTAAAAAGAAAAAGATATGCTATGCAAATTCTAATAAAAAATAAAAATAAAATACAGAGGAACGTAGGTTCACACACACACACACACCATTAAAGCAAGAAATTTATAAAGAGAACAATTTTATAATGATGAACTTATCAATAAGAATAATAAGAATACTAATTCTAAATTTGATTCATCTAATAGTAATATGCCTTCCAAATATACAGACTCAGACTTCTGCTTCCAGCCTTGACAGAGCAACTGGTAACAGTCTAGCCCTCCTCCTGCATATAATCACAAAAGTGGGGTACTGAACAACAGGCAGCCAAAAGATTGGGATACCTAAAGAAACAGACACAAAGGCAGTCCCCACAAAAAAAGAAAAGCAATCTTGACTAGTATAAAAAGGATAGGAGAGAGGGATTGGAATACATTTAGCAAAGCAACCTTGTAGAAATCTGTGGAACACAATACCTGAAAGAAGAGAGCTATCTAGAGAAGAAGCTACAGAAATATATGTAGAAAACATCTGATTTTTTTCCTGGAAAAGAAAGAAATGTGTGTATATAGATGTGAGACTCCAGAACTGACATAGGTGTGAGACTACAATCCCAGACAAACAGGAACCAACAGAAAGAATATGCACCGAAAAATTGTAACCTAAATAATCACTGAAGCTTGTAACTGGATAGAAGATGTTCACATTTCACTGAGCTAGGGAAACCATGGTGATTACCTTGGGACTTTGAAAGACCACTCTTTAGAAGTGGGGCTAACCTATTCCTAGAGTGAAGGCTATGCATAACCTGCCCTAAAAAGCTTAAAAGCAAGCATTGAAAGACTCAAGATGATCCAGCGGTAAGTTAATTCCTTTGCAGAACAAAATCCAGCATCTCTAAATTAAGGCAGAAAACTGCAGACACTCAACAACAAAATATTAATTATATCTAAAGTGCAACCCAAAATGAAAGGCATGGGAAAAAGCTGGACAATGTGAACTATGACCTGGAAAAAACTCACCTAAGAAGCAGATTTAAGAATGACAGAAATGATATAGTTAGCTAATTAAATATGTTCACAACTCAATGCACAATGTGAACACAATGAGGAAACAAATATGGTTTCCAAAAGAGAAACAGAAACTATAAAAATTGAAACTATAAAAAAAACTATAAAAACCAACCAAAGTTCTAGAATGGAAATTGTAGCACTGAAAAGTATATAAAATGGAAAATTTACTAGATGGTCTTAATAGGGAATTAGATACTGAAGAAATAAATAGTAGCAATCTTACACAAAAAATCAAGGTCTAGAAAAGATAGGACAGTTCCAAAATTAATCTACTAGATTAGCATAACCTTGGTTCCAACATAAAAGAGGAACTATAGGCCAATATTTGATAAACACACACACGCAAAGTTATAACAATATATTGGCAAAGTAAAAATTAGTGCTGCCTATAAAAGGTACTATATATGATCAACTGGAATTATTCCAGATATTTAAGATGGGTTTAATTTTTTAAAATGTGATTCACCACATTAACAAAAAAAGAAATTAATATACTCTCTGAATCAACTCAATTAAGTCAATTAAGAAACTGAAATAAAAAATTAGAACTCAGAAAAATCTAGAAGGGATTTTCTTTACTTGGACAAAAAGTTCTACAAAATATTAGTAATACTACAATGATGATATATGGAATGCTTTTCCCAGTTTAAAATGAACACTGAGAAGAAAGTTCATTATCATATTATGCAATGGTATAGTATATGTTTACATGAATGTACGAAGAAACAAGGAAAAGATTGGAAAGGAAGAAATAAATTTATCATCATTAATAGTTTATGTAATATGCAGAGAATCTGTATCTACAAAACTTAGTAAGATTACTAGTAATAACATTAGCATACATAAAAGTCAACTGCATATTTGCTGTTTTGTTTTTGGGGACTGGTGATTGAATCTAGCCCCCCTCCACCCTGTCTTTAAATTTTTGAGACAAGGTATCCCTAAGTCTCTAAGTTGCCCAAGCAAGGCTCAAATTTGCAATCTTTCTGCCCTGGACTCCCAGAGCACTGAGATCACAGGCATGCAACATCAGGCCTGGCTCAACTGTATTTTTATGTGCCAAAGAATGATATTTACAAACAATACCATTTGCAATAGCACCAAAAACCATCCATCAAATAATGGGATAAGTATAATAAATAAATATAATTTAATATAATAAATGATATAAAATAGAATATAAAATATACAATATAATAATAAATAATGCCTTTCAACTAAAGTAACAAAACATCGTGAAGAGAAATTAAGAGCTAAGCAAATGAAGGGATATAGCACATTCCTAAATTATGAGACTTAATACTCTTTAAGATGGTAATTCTTCCTGAACTGATCTACAGAATTAATAAAATATCATTCCAAATTTCAGTAGATTTTATATAGGGGTGTGTGTGGGGGTAAGGGAAGGTATGAACCCAACAAAATGAGTGTTAAATTTGCACAGAATTACAAATATGGTAAAATATCCAAGATAGGGCTGGGGATGTAGCACAGTAGCAGAGGGCTAGCCTACCATGCAAAGCCTTGGGGTTGATCACCAGACGCATACACACACAAATTTTAAAATTCAAAGACAGATGAAGAAAAATAAAACCAGAGAGCTCATATTATTAAACATTACGATTTATTGTAAAGCTACATAATAATTAAGACATAATAATTAAGATGTATATACGTTTACATCAGATACATATATTTAATTCAGCAGAGGGAAGGCAGCTTTTCAATAAATACTTCAGGTCAATGCAACAGAACATATGAATATATATAATCCCAAAGAGAGCAGCAATTCAAATGTCTATCATCAGATGAATTGATAAACAATAACGAAAATGCACTATATGCATGCAGTGGGACATTATTTGGAATTAAAAGAGGAAGGAAACTTTGACACATGCTATAACATAAATAAACCTTAAATATATGCTAAGACACCAAGTAATTCATACACACGAGAGCAAATATTGTATGTTATACTTTCAAGGATTATGTAGAATAAGCACATGAATAGAGACAGACAACAGACAGAGCTTACGAGGGGACTGGAGAGGTAGAGAATGGGAAGTTATTGTTTAATGAAGATACAGTTTTTCTTTGAGATCACAAAAACTTCTGGAAATGGATAACGGTGATGGTTGCACAACAGTGAGTATATTTCATAGTATGGAACTGTATGCCTAAAAATAAAGAGTTTTATGTTGATTTTACCACAATAAAAATATATGAATGTGCCTTACAGGTTTTATTCATAAGAGCCAAAAATGGAAAGAACTCAAATGTCCCTAAGCGCACACACACACACACACACACACACACACACACACACATATAGAGTCTGCCAAAAACATGTATACACACTTCAGGAAAAAAAAATAGTATGATTTGTTTTAACAGATGGTGTTACCTACATATGGGGGACCCTAGAGGATGTCATATATCACAGCAAATACCACATATATGTCAGAAAATATATAAAGTTGATGAGAGAAATTAGGAAATTTATATATATAAAATGGAACACTACTCAGCAATAAAAAAACAAATCACTGATATATGAAACAACTTGGATTGATTTGAAGGTTATTATATTGAATAAAAACTACCAGTTTCCAAAGGTTATAAATCTATATAACATTCTCAAAATGACAAAAGTATATATAGAGAGAACATTTCAATGGTTTCCAGAGGTGACGAGAGAGGGTATGCCTACAGAGCAACATGATGGAGTTATTCAGTGGTAGTAGAGCATTTTTTTTTTTTCAGTTTGTGGTGGTGACTGCATAAATTTACATGTACAAAAATATTTCATAAAACTATATACTTAAAAAAGGAATGATGGCAAAACTTGTGAAATCTGAGTTAAGCCTGAGGTTGAGTTAATTGTGTTGTGCCTTTGTCAATTTCCTGGTTTTGCTAATGTAACATAAATGCTTTAAGTAAATGTATCATTGAAGGAACTGGGTGATATATACATAGGATCTATTTGTATTATTTTTGGAACATCTTATGAGTCAATAATTATTTCAAAATAACAAGTTTCTTAAAATACAGTTGCTCTCAAAAGCAGAAGGACATATTAAACTTGGCATCATAATACTTCCTTAATATTCCAGGAAGTTTTCAGCTTTGGAAAATACAACTGCTATGTTTTGGATATAGTTTGAGTTTGACCTCCAAGGGCTCATGTTTTGGAATGTTGTCCTCTGTGCAGAGTTATTAAGAAGTGCAGCCTAGTGGGAGATCATGCCATGGGAAGGATTAAGGACATTCAGTTCATGCCATGGGAGGGGGATTAAGGACATTCTCTTAATGTCCTTAAGAGGAAAGGACCCCAGAGTTAGTTCTTATGAGAACAAGTTGTTACAGAAGCCTGAGATTGACCCCTGGATTGGTGCTATACTTCCTGTCTGGTTATGCAATTTCTTCCTCCTACACATGAGGTCACTACTAGGACAGCATCCACCCAGAGATGTTCTCCAGAGTTGAGCTGATCCTGGTGCTGTGAGCTTGAACCTCCAAACTATGAACTAAATACATCCGTTTTCTTATAAAGTTGTCCAATCTCAGGTATTTTGCTGTAACAGAAGAAAAGACTAATAAAATAAGTTCATCTTAATGAGAGTAGGGTTATACAAGAGGTACAGCCATTAAAATTTTAATAGTAAATTATCAGAGAAGACAGCTCATTTATAAGAATTTATATCTAAAGTTCTCATAAATGCTTCATGCTTCTGTAGTAGGAAATTTAAATGTTTCTAAACATGAAGGATACCTCTACTTTCATTCTTGGGGAAGATATATATAGATATATATTTTTCAATAAGTAAATATTCATCAACTCATTGTTCCTAGAAAATCATTACCTTGGAGATAAATAAGCAAAATGAGTAAATTTATAATTTTGTAGCAGTATTAAGGCATGTAAAAATATGAGAGAAGAAACTGATATAGCATATGAGATTGTAAAGAGAGATCACATATTTAAAACTTGGAGGTTTCAGAGACAATTTCATGGAAATTATATTTGATCTATCCATACAGTGGGAAGAATTTTAGATAAACAGGTGTGGTATGGAGATGTTGGTCATGCCAAGCTGAGGAAAAAAACCATGAGCAAGGTAGCAGAAGTAGGCAGGCATGGTGGGGCAGGCCTGTAATTCTAGCACTCTGGGAGGCTGAGGCAGTAGAATCTGAGTTTGAGTTTAGCCTAGGCAACTTCAACCGGATTCTGTCACAAAACTTTTAGAAAGTAGGGAGGAGGCTGGTGATGTAGCTCTGTGCAGAAGCCCTAGGTTTAATTCTCACTGAAAAAAAAAAAAAAAAAGAAGAAGAAGAATGAAAGAAAGAAAACACAAATACCTAAAACACAAAACATAAGCAAGGACGGTACAACAGGAAAGACAAAATATATGTAAGAACAGGATACTATTATGAGGTAAGAAGCAATAAATAAGTTAAAAGATTGATTGTGGGGGACTGTACAAATATGTATATTATTTTCAGGAACAAATAATGTTTCGGTAGTAAAGATGATCCTTTTATATGTTACAACTGTTAAGATAAATAAAACTAAATATTTTCACAGTTATAACACAAGAAGTGAAAAAAACAGTAAGTTGCATTTTAAGTCAATTTAATTTATAGGACGGTATCAGGACCAAAAGTTTTCTGAAGAGGAAATTCACATGCTTCCTGTTTACTTAACAATATTCTTTGCTCTTTCTCCCATCAAAGAACAATTACCCTTATCTAGGAGCCATCAATTTCACCTCATTCTCAAAGAAAATAAACGTATTCAAAAGTCATAGTGTTCCTTCATTAACTCTCGTACAAAGCTTGACTATATTTATGTCCAGTCCCCATCAATATTTTCAAAGCATCTGTATATATTTCATGTACATATTCTACTCATTATTTTTCACAAGTTTAACCTAAATCTTCCTTAAAATAATTCTCAGTCATGTCACTTCATCTCATGTAATAAGTAAAATGCGTCTCCCAAGTACACTTCTTACTTTAGTTTGCGGTGCTGGGGACTGAACACAGGGCTCATGAATGCCACAGAAGTGCTCTACCACTGAGCTATACTTCCAGACCCTCCTCCCCCCAAATTGTAAGTTTCTTTAACAGATATAACTGTGCTGTAGGAACTTCCTATATACATGATAATCAACACTAAATTTTTATGATAAAATTTAGAGCAGTATTTTTTAATGTTTCTTGTGCCATGGCAAGATAAGAAAATAGCATTTCTACACAGTGGAGTAAATAATGGGCTGCTTGAGGCCAAAGTTGACTGGCTCAGGCTCTAGCTGTCACATGCTTCTCACAGGCCTCACAAAGGCTGAATGGATTGAATACTACCAGTCTTCATTCATATTCCACTACACATGATGATTTTAGCTCTAACAGTATTTTGCTAATAGCTGGAGGTGAGGGAGGGGAGCACGACAAAATACAGGATAAATTACGAAGAACTCAAACTTTAAAATACCCTGAACACAACATGTTCCTTATTCAATGAATCTACTAAACTTCTACTTAATCCTTTACTTAGTTTATTTCTCCTATTTTGGCTTCAGCCTTTTCAGTAACGCCTTCACATCATCATACATTCCCTAACCACATCTGACCCAATTCTTGGACCTGCCTAACATAAACTATGCTCCAAAACAAGTCACAAATTAATGTTAGGTGACTCCATTATATATTTGTGCATGCTCATAAAATCTCCCCAATATTATAAATGAACATTAAAGAATGCCTGACTGCAACTGTATCATTCTCATCACCGAGCTGCTAGAAAGAACAGGATGCAGTCATTGTCTTCAAGTACTCATCTCCCACTCTTTCCTCAACAGTGGCCGATCTCCACTCTGGTACTACCAACTTTTTGTTATTCTGTTGGGTGATGTTTTTCAAAGGGTGGTTCCTGTGGTTTGGATCTTGAGTGTCCCTCAAAGGCCCATGTGTTGAACACTTGGTCTACAGCTCACGGCACTAATAGGCAATGGCAGAACCTTTAGGAAGCAAGGGTTAGTAGAAGAAATTTAGGTAATTAGGGGAATGCCCTCAAATGGGATATTGACACCTCTCACCCCTCCATTTCTTTGTCTTGCTTCCTATCTGTGACGAGGAGAGCAGCTTCCTTCCACACTCTCCCATTAAGATGTACTGCCTACTACAAGGCCAAAGACAATGGGGTCAAGCAACCCTGGGCTGAAACGGTTGCCATTCAATTGAGGATTCTTTTGCTCAATTCTGATAGAAATCACGAATCAGCAAAGCGCAGCTCTGCTAGTGGCTCGGATGTCACTGGAGGGCACCAGATAATGATACCACAAATGGCTGCTGCTTTCTGCTGCAACTGGCCACCACTGTTCAGTGCCAGCTTGTGTTGGATGCCATCAGGAGAGTCTGCCAGATGTTGGTCTCTGTCCTGGATGTTAGCTGGCTGCTGGTCCCTGGATCTCTTCAGGGCTAACAGCCCATAGTGTTTATCACTTTTTCTTTTGAAATGACCACTCACACTACTCAGGATAAAAATTCTGGGTCAGGACCTTCTGACCTCACACTACCTAAGAAATCATGAGCAGATTTATAGAACCATTGGAGTGAGTCTTTATTTATAATTTTTTGTAAATTAAAAAAAGTCTTTATCAAGTTAATTATCATAAAAATGAGTCATTAACAGGAGTGCAGGAGCACTGGATAGGGGCATGGTCACTACACCAGAAGGAGTCTCCCCAGACTAACTTGAGAAATGTACAGGGAGTGCTACTTATATAGCAGCTGCAGGCCTGTGATTGGTCCAAATATAGACTGTGAATGGTTCTAATTCAAGCTTGGTGATTGGTGCAAGGGCAAGCTTGTGATTGGTTCAAGTGTGTGTGTGTGTGGGGGGGGCTCCAGCACAGTTGCAGCTCTCATGGCCACAATTCAGTGAGGAGTGGTCTGATGCAAGCTATTTGATTGACAGGTGTCATGTCTCTGGGAACAATGGCAGAGCTGAAACCCAGGAATACATAGGAGTGCTATGATATGTTCATCACAGCCTATTGAGGTTTGAGGAGGGTGGAGGTGTTAATAATGGGTCCAGACCCCTCCCTGAGCTTAGCCACATTAGGGTGCCCTCCCCCACATCTTCAAAGAGACAGCGACAGTGCCTGAAGTGACTGGAGTGGGGGAAGGGCATCAAGGCTGACAGGCAAGCTGCACTCCTGTTTGAGCAGACTGGAGGAGAGTGGCTGCTAAATAATCAGGGAGGACACTGAGGCAAGTTGTCCCAGTCCATTATAGGCAGAAAGGGTAGCAAAGGGAAATGAGGGGGACAGTTATCAAACAACTTCTCCTTCGGGCCAGCACAAAAAAAGATAAGAACCAAGCAATTTTTGTCTGTCTCAAAAAACCCAAAACTGTGTCAACATAAACATTTCCTGTTTTTAAAATTCATTATCTCCACTATTTTGTTACAGTAACCACTGCTTGAGTTTATCTTGTCCTTCGTAATTGGTCACAACCTTTACTCTAGGTCATCACTACCTTACGTATACTCAGGCTATTCGCACAGCCTCCAAGCTTTTTAATCTTTTAAACTTTGAAAACTATCGTGAGAACACTGTAATAGGAAAAAGAAACAAGAAAGCCCCCAAATATGCATTCACATGAATTTGTGTTCACACACACATATATGTGCTCATATGAAAAATAAGATAAGGAACTTAAATAGTTTATATATATGAAAACTTCACGTACATACATACAAAAGTGTGTATACACTTATACAGAAAGATGAAGAGAGTAACTGTGCACTCTTGTGATGGAAGGAATAGAGATAAAACTAGATTTCTCTGCATGTACCATGTATTACAGATTTGCTGTATAATAGCCATTATACAATTTATAAAAACATATAGAGTTTATGATATTTCAATTTTAGTCGATGCAAATTTGTGACATATATATCATGTAAGGATCAGATCAGTGTAATTGGAATATCTATCTCACAAATTTATCATTGCTTTGTGTTGGGAGCATTCAAAGTCCTCTATACTAAATATTTTGAAATATCCAACTAATGGTTGTAAACCATAGTTATCCTCCTGTGCTACAGAACATTAGAATATATTCCTCTTATACAACTGCACCCTGGACCTATGAACTATCCTATGCCTACCCCACCCCTTCACACACATTTCCCAAGTTCTCATTGGTAACTGCTATTACATTCTCTGGCTGATTTGCTTGTCTTAAATAATGTTCTCTAGTTCCATTCATGCTCCTGAAAATGATAAAAATACCATTCTTTCTATGGCTTTCATCGTGTACACACACCACACTTTCTCATCTGTTCATATGTTGATGGACCCTTAGGTTGATTTCATCTATTGGTTACTGTGAATAGTGCTATAACAAACATGCAAGTGCAAATGTTTCTTCAACATATTGATTTCATTTCCTCTGGATATATATCCAGTAGTGGGATTGTTGGATTATATGTTAGTTCTATTTCTAGGTTTTGAGGAACTTCCTTTCTCCAAATCCTTGCCAGCATCTGTTTTCTTTTTGATGATAG